TTTAAATCTATTTATTTTGTATGTATAATTATTATAGTTTTTAGGGGTATCAAATTTAATATATATATATATATATAATTATTATAGTATATATAATTATTATAATTATTATAGTAATTTAATATATATATATAATTATTATAGTTTTTAGGGGTATAAAATTGTTAAATTAATATATATATATATAATTATTATAGTATTTTTTTAGGGTTATAAATTATTAAATTAATATTCTGCTTATCGTGTATCGTGTTACCCACGTGTATACCCGAACAAGCCTGTTATCTTAACAGGTGCTTATCGGGTTACCCGATAACGACCCGTTTCGTTATCGTGTCGACCCGAACACCTGTTAATTTCGTGTCGTGTTGTGTCGGGTTATCGGGTCGTGTCAGGAATTGCCAGACCTAACTAAAACACGGGCCCACTTTAAAGGTTATAATAATTTTAACCAAATTTCAAGGATCCAAATTGTTTAATGAGGAGGATTATGTATAAGCTGGTTTGGAATGCAAGCAAGCAGCCATGCACAGCTCTCTAGCTGGCCTCGAGTTGGCAGCAGACATGCACCCTCAAGAAACCAACATGATCCTTTTGGTGAGGATCTTATGGATTCAAGAATCGTGTTCGTTTATCGTACATCGTGTGATCAATTTTTATCAAGTACTGTTTGTGTTTAATTTTAAATAAAAATATTTAAAATAATTTTTAACCGCACAATATATGATGAATGGACATGATTCACAAATCTTCTGAATCCTCACAAAAAGGATCCGACGAGGATCCGGAGAAAAATGCACATTAACACATAAGAAAATAACATTAAAATAAGCAAAATGCTACCAAAATACACAAAGTAGTGCACTTGACTAAATAAGAGTAATGTTACTTATACCAACTTTTATATTAAATTTGCAAAACTTGTGATGTGTTATCGATACAAAATAAGCATGTTAATAAACATTTTAACAATAATTTAATCTTCAACAACAACCATGCTATATAATTTGCAAAATATAATTTACATATATGGTTTTTTTAGCATTACCCGATTAAATTATCATTTGTTAATTCTTAGTTGTTCGTTGAATTCTTAGTTTTTTTAGCGTTATAACCGGAACATGATGATTAATTTATTCCTGTCAAAGGGGACTGCAAAGAGTACAGTAACACTAATCAAACTCTCACAAGCAAACGATTCTTATAAATTATTGTTTATTTTTAGAGTTTAGCGCTCAGGGTCTAACATAAAAAAAATATAATTTTTATATGTCAATCATGCAAACTTTTTCATGTGTAAAGAAAGACCAGAAGGTGTGCAGAATTCATGATCAAGATTATCAAGAAAATGAGTTCCCCTATATGAAGAAGAAACAAACAAAAGATATGATGGAAAAATGTATCTCTTTAAAATTATTATCAAGGAGAGGAGAAGGGTTCCAAATTTTTACAATAATTATGAAAAAAGAAGGAATTTTAAATTTGGAATGCATGAATAAATTTTTTTATATTTAAATTAAAAAAGATACGTATGTGATATGCACCCACAAAAGATAAAACCAAAATTTGATTTCTGACGTCCACTAGCAAGCAAACATGAAATTACACCACTCATGCATTTCTGAAAGGTGAAGTGAAAGGAGATAAGAATGCTGATTCAATCACTTTCCTTTTGTCCAGGGAAAGGATATTATGGGATTTAATTGGTTACAAGTGTGAGACCTAATGATGAAGCATAATATTCGACGTCGTTTTCTCGCGTCTACATGCACCCATTTGCATGTAAAGCCTCACTTAGGAATTTGGCAGAGATTTGTCCATCAAATACTACAGTTTCACGCCCAACAGTTTATAACCGAAACACGTTAAGATCATCTTCAGTAACGAAGAGCTAAATGTAACATTTGGCAATATTTTAGTCCTTTAAAACTTAAATCTCTTGTACCTGAGATTTGTTAATAAGTAGAATGATAACGCTTTCTTCATTTTCAGTAAATAACATATTCTTTATTTCACGCTAACATAACATTATTTGACCGTATAAACATCATAATCATATCATTTTATATACTATGCAATCTATTGCAATCTGATCCTTATCACTCTTAATCTTATGCAATTCTAGGTAACCAAACGTGCTCTCAAGGATAAAAACGACTTGGCCCCAACTTCTAACTATATTTTGAAATCTATATCAAAAAACACTTAAATGAGTTGTTCAAATTAATTATTCCTTTAAACTATGTACTTCTTTTATAGGCTAATTGTCATATGATCCACCTAAATTATTTAAGGTGCTTAGCTAAATTGCTATTAAGGATTAGTCTCTTTTATCTGCCAAAATATTAACATCAGTATGTATCTAATAGTTGCCTTCTTAACTGAAATTAGACGGTATGGCTGATTCATACTTAGGTTTTGACAGAAGGTATCTATCGCTTGCTTTGCTTTGCTTCCCAATTTTGCACGTTACATAGTGTCATCTAAAACCCAAAAGTTAAGCTATTATGTTACAAGGATCCGACCTCCCAAGTTGGCCATTTGCTTTTGGATTCTGCCAACTGCATAATGGAAGGAAGACTTGGCCATTTTCCTCTCAACTTTCACTCAACTACTGATTTTTCTGCTATTGTCAATTTCCTCTATGAACTATATTAATCGTCATTTTCCGCTATTGTTATGCTTACCATTATTTCATCTAATTTTCCTTCCAAAAAAATGTCGCTCTTGTAATTAAATGTGACCCTCATATTTCTACTTTTTCATTTCTTGAAATTTGACATTTTTGGTGAAGTTAAGTAGATGAAATGTTGGAAAACATGATTGTACGTCGGAAATCAGGGGAAATTTTTCAGTGTGACAGGTACACGGAGTAGTACATCACATATCACTATACAAATGATGGGATATTTGTTTTAAAAAGTTAATAACTTAAAGAATAAAATTTCCCACCATTTATATAAAAACAGGTGGTGTACTCTCGGTGTTCTGATCACAATGAAAAATTTCTCCGAAATCAGCCATTAATAATAGTTTGGGAGATTTGAGAAATAAGCAGTGAAGTACAAGATAAAATCAGCAATATACTCATATGTAAATTAAAATAAACGATACGTTTAAAAATTATAAAGATTTTGTCAGACGGAATTGAAATTGAAATTAAAGAAATGTTCGACCACATGAATTAGTTTGAAGATATAAGGTTTTCCTATTATTATAGGTTGTTCAAATGTTTTCTCTTTCTTTTACTTCTCAAAGTTTTTTTTTTTATCAACAAAGAAATATATTAAACGTGAAAGCCTCTGGTACAACTATAGTTTTTTTTCTTCTCAAAGTTGAAAACGTGATTTCATTAATTGTATTAGAAAAAAAATGGTGGGATACCTTTCACTTACGAACTCACTACAAGATTTAAACATAAAACCTCTAATTTAACATCAAAGCAACAACGGGTCTCATTTGTGCAACATAAACGGTTTTAAAGGATTTAATAAACAATTTTGACAACAGGAATAACGTGAGACAGAAATTCAATTTAGAGGTTATGTGACAAAATATTAGTTCAAGAAGTATTAGGGTTTGGGAAGAGTCTAGATGTAATCAAAGTTGTTTTCAATGATAACAGGCTGGATAAGGATCATGGCAACAAGAAGGTCAATTGCCCTCATCGGCCTTTACTCTTTTTAAATTGTTTTTCTTTTTCCGTGTGCCTTTGGGTAATGGTTTCTATCAACAAAAATGCTGTACTCGATAAACAAAATGCCCTTTGGGTAATTACAAACTATTTTTCTTTCTTTGCTTTGTATAATCATATTTGTTATTTTATTTATTTTAGGGCGACGAATAAAAATAAAGAGAAGTATATAAAGGAGAAACATGGCACAGCAAAGGGCATTTTGTTGAACATGAAGAATTCAGGGGTGAGATTGCTTTTAGGTGGGGAGCATTTTGCTCACCCTCATAAATTATGGTTATGATCCATATACACATAATTATGTGTCACGTGTTCTTTCACTTAATCTTAGTTTTTTTTTTAATTTAAAAAGTAACGTTAAATGTGAAAGTTAATTAAAGTTAGATAAAATGACACGTAACAAATAATTAAGTGTAATGAATATGCATTATAATTGTGTGGCGAGCAAAAATGTTTTAACTTTTAGGTGCGCTTACGGTTCTAAACAATTGGAATTTGGAATCTTCAAGTTCCACTCCACCTCTTACCCATTTGCCCTCTGGAAAACTCCATCCTTTTGATTTTTCTCATATTCTTTCCTTCTTTTGGCACAATTCTTTTTCCCTTTTAAAAGGCTTGTTGACCGAAAAATAAATAAATTGTTAAAGGCTTAGTTATAGGAAAAAAGAAAAAGAAATTATTTTCATTAGAAACATTTTTGCCGTTTCAAATTGAGTAATGTTAATTAAAAATTAAATTATTACTTAAATTGATTAGCGTGTTTATTTATTATTAATAGTATTTTATTTATTTTTCAAACTGAATTTACTTAATTCTCAACTGTCACCATCACCGTCTCTTCTTCTCGAATATGTTCTTTTTGTTATACTCATTTACAATGACATTTTTATGACACATAAATAAAAGTGCTTATTTATTTTTTGATTAATATAGTTTGAAAATGTGACACATAAATTATGTACAATTTAGTACTACAATTTATTGTTATTCTTCTTTATTTTTAAGTAAGAGATCTTAGTTTCGATTCTCACTAAAACAAATTTGAACCACATTATCATAGCTAACTCAATATGAGATTTAGTCTACTCTCTCATCTTTTTAATGTAAATACTATTGTTTGTTAAAAAAACAAGAAAAAAAAAAAGTTCGTATGTATGTAAAAGTTTCTCCCTGCTCCAAACTTCCAAAGGATTCTGACAAATCAAGACCACACGTTTTGGGTCCCACCATTATCTCAAATCAGTTCATCTTTTGGTCAAACATTAATATTCATTTGCAATGCCACGGGTCACATACACATACACGTCGCTGGTTCTCATCCCAGACGCTTCTCCCTCTCCCTCCCTGACTCCCTCCTCTCTCTCTCTGATTAATCTGTCTTTTTCTTACCATCTAAAATTTATAAAAGTTAATTAAAAGCTCTATCTCTCACGCTATTTGTGTATTTCATTTCACTGCCCCTCGAATACCGTCGCAGAGAGACTAAGAAAACGAAAACAAAGCCGCATGCAGATCATCAGCAACAACCTTGTACGGTTCTGGTACTTTCTCAAAACATCAGTCTTCTCCTTTTTTCCTCATATAACTGTTGTAAGCTGCCCTGTTTTCTTAGAAATGTTTGTTCTTCCTGGTATTGGTCAGTTTAATCTTTCTAAATATTGCTGCAAATTGGTGTCATTTTTCAGAGCTTAAGTTTTTTATTTCTCTCTCAAAGTTGGCACCTTTCATGTTTTGAGTCCAAAATTAATCTTCAACAGTGTCAAAATTGTTCCTTTCTTAATTTTAATTTGAGCTTTCATTGTTTCTAAAATGGGTTTGTTACAAAATTTTGGAAACAAAATTGAAAGGGGTCTTTTTGATTGGTGAACTTGCAGAGGCTGATCACAAGGTGAAAAATAATAATATAATTTTATTTGGAATTTTTTCTTTTAAAAAAATTGATGGGTGAGATTTACTGTACTATATATATTTGATTCTGCTATGTCTCTGCAAGTTTCTTAAGGTGTTGACACATGGCATGGGTTTGTGTTGGTACTCAAGTTTCTTGTCGTTTTACCCCTTCTGGTTTTTTTTTTTTTTTGGTTTGTTTATTTGTTTTTTTTTATGTAAATATTGAGGTGTGCTGGTATTTGTAAATGCTTATCCTTGTTTCTCTCTCTTGATTGAGGTGGTGGCAGAAACGAGGAACTTTTTCCGTTGGTTCGTGAAGGCGGTGGTGGTGGTGGGATTTTTGGGGTGAGAGCTTTTTGAAATGGTGGGACAAGGAAACATCAAGACTGAGGACTTGAACTTGTGCTTTGAGAAGCTGATGATGTTTGCAAGTGCTTCTGGTGGAAGCGCTTCTGTTGGTGGGAAAATGAAGATGGAAGGAAGGGTGATGATCACCGATTGGAAGGATATTCCGATTGAGCTGCTTCTGCAAATCCTGGCGCTTGTCGATGATCAGACGGTGATCACGGCATCTGGAGTCTGCAGTGGCTGGAGAGATGCTGTTTGCTTGGGCCTTACTCGTCTCTCCCTCTCATGGTACATATATTTTTTGCCTTCTCTATGTTATGTTTTTTATTGTTCAAAGAAAGGAACCAATATATTAACATCACCTGGTGGCATATGACCTTCGAAAATTCGATTTTTCGTTCGTGTGTGTGTGTGTTACTGTTGGGATTAAGTCCCTGGTTCTAGTAACTTCCAAAAGTATACGCTGTGTGTATAAATATTGCTTTGCCAGGCCGTTCTCTGTTTTCGTGTTATCCCTTTAGTGGTGGAATTGCTCTTTGGGACACAATATGATTCCTTCGGTTGTTTTTATGAATTTAAGTTCATCTGAACGACAGTTTTTATTTTTAAGATTATAAGAAATTGATGCCAATCTGCAAGAGTAGGCAGGGTTATGTGACAATGATTCTGTCATTAGGTGATTAGACTGATTGTATTGCTTACCCCTGCTGCGTACTTGTAAAGATTACAAAAGATTAACTTCTCGGAGTTGGTGATTGGCCTGTCTAAGGCTCTTTTCGAATTTCACGTTAATCTAGTGTGGGAGTAGATTTAGTTTGTAATTTGTAGAATGCTTATGCTTATTCGTTCGGTTTTATATCAAGCTGGATTTTCTTTTGTGAATTCACAGGTATTTTGAATCCAAGGTAGTGGCAATTTTTGAGGCTTACCCTATATTAATTTGTGTTGGGTGGTTGTAAATTAATGTTGCTAGGGTCTAAATACGTTTGCTTATGTTAAGAGCTCGATTCCTTAGATGGAAGGAATCAAAGGGAAACCCTCGTGTAGGATGCTGAATCAAACACGGTTCAAAAAGGAACTAAAAATCTTATTAAATTTTAGGACTATCAAAAGCGTAGGAACTTAAAATGTTTGTAGAAGAATGTTTGTAGAAACTTTATGAATTGATTTAAGTCGTTCTTTTTAAAATGTTTTAAATGCCAACTTGATCTGTCAACTATGTTATCAGGTGCACCAAGAACATGAACAGCTTGGTCCTATCTCTAGCTCCTAAGTTTACAAGATTGCAGACTTTAATACTGCGGCAAGATCATAAACCCCAACTTCAGGATAATGCTGTTGAGAGCATTGCAAACTTCTGTCATGACCTGCAGGTCCTGGACCTCAGCAAAAGCTTCAAGCTCAGTGACCGATCCCTATATGCCTTGGCTCACGGGTGCCCAAATCTTACAAAACTAAACATTAGTGGGTGCTCGGCATTCAGTGACATTGCTCTTGAATATCTTGCTGGATTTTGCCGAAAATTGGAAGCCTTGAATCTTTGTGGTTGCGGCAGGAGTGCATCAGACAGGGCATTGCAGGTAAAGCAAAGTTTAGATATTGATTTATTTATTTTGTGTATTAACTGAGTTGGCTCTATTAATACTATTAAGATCGCGTGCAGGCTATTGGGCATTACTGTAGTCAGTTGCAGTCTCTGAATCTTGGTTGGTGTGAGGATGTAAGTGATGTTGGAGTTATGTGTTTGGCACATGGATGCCCTGATCTCAGAACTGTTGATTTGTGCGGCTGTGTCCTAATATCAGGTATTTGTTTTACAGTACTCGCTGCCTGTTACAGTTGGTTTTAGTGGTCATATTTCGTTAATGTTATTTTTCCACATGTATGTGTTGATGAGTGCATTGCAAAGGTGTACATGTTGCTATTATGAAAAGTTGCGTAGCCTTGACCGTGCTGCTTCAGAGTCGGTTATCGCAGTCCATTGTTAACCTTATGGTAGCCATTTCATGATGTCTCAGTCAAATCCCTAATGTTTTGCTGGAAATTTTTAGGATATGCTCAGCTGACCCGAAAATATTATTGAACCGAAAGGGGAGACCCTAGAATTGAAGGTCTGATGCCTTTATTCTTTGATTGCAGATGATAGTGTGATTGCTTTGGCAAACAGGTGTCCTCATTTGCAATCGCTTGACCTTTACTACTGTAAGAACATTACAGACAGAGCAATGTATTCCTTGGCCCAGAGTGTAGTGAAGAACAAGCCTGCGGCAATGTGGGAATCCCGGAAAGCCAGGAATGACGAGGAAGGGCTTAGGACCCTCAACATTAGCCAATGCACAGCACTCACCCCTTCTGCTGTTCAGGCGGTGTGCGACTCGTTCCCTGCACTTCACACCTGCTCTGGAAGGCATTCCCTCATCATTAGCGGCTGTTTGAACTTGACGTCGGTGCATTGTGCCTGCGCTGTCCAAGCTCACCGCACTGCCAACGCCTTTCCTCATTCAGCTCATGGAACCAATGAACGGGGATTAGGGTAACGATCTGGTAAAGTGTTGAAAGGACCGAGAACCCTTAACCACTGTACATATGTTTGTATTGAGATGTAAGATATTGGTCGCAAATGGGCAGCAGCCATTTGTTGGAACCTACGGACTTTATCTTGACTTATGTTATCGGCTTTCGAATATTGAATTGTGCAGCATTTTTGGATGCTCGAAAACAAATTTAGTTACTCAAAGCCGCTATGGTGGCCGTTCGCTTCTTAGAGCGCTTACCCGTCGACTCGTAAGTCATGGCTGTTGATGCGCCTCCCGTATACAAAACATCTAGCGTACGCAAAACCAAAAATCACTCAAATCTGAAGCCGTTGGATTAAGAGTTTACGGTTTCATAGAACCGTATCACAAGTACAACATGAGTGATTAAACTTGAACTCCCTTATTGGAAGATTGACCAGATGTTGCTATACCGGTTATACGCCAGGCATTGGGAACCGGGTGGTAAGAGCTTCAACTCTTGTCTGCAGATCGGACACTCGATCCTTTAGAGAGAACTCCGGGGAAGCTACAAACTTCATAAAGTCTTGGAGCTTCGGTCCTAGAACCGTGCGTTTGGCATCTATTGTTATCTGCACGCCCTCATGAATGTAGTCGGCAACTGCTACGAATTCTTTCTCTGTGAACCCTCTCGTCGTCATGGCAGGCGATCCAATGCGAATGCCGCCCGGCACTACAGCACTCTTATCACCTGTTTCATCAAATAACAAGAACACCAATCAAATTCACTAATTTAGCCTAATCCTCAAATCCGCTGTCCTTCGTAATCATTTGATCCAAATGGGGACTTAAGACTCACCGGGTACTGAATTCTTGTTAAGGGTGATAGAAGCCATGTCAAGAATTTTCTCTACTCGAGCTCCATCAATACCCTGTTGATAAAGGAAGCGTCAAACAACATTGGTAAATTAGATAGGTTATGAACCAATGCAAAAATCCAATCGTAACTTCAATGCTTAATCAAATTCGATAACTTGCAATTAGAGAATAATTATCGTCCACATTTCAGAACAAGCTCTTACATGAGATGCAATAAGAATTCCATATTGAAGTTAAAACAAATAAATTACTTTAACAATCTAGGAACTTACTAAAGGCCGCAGATCCACAAGAACCAGATGGTTATCGCTTCCACCAGAAACTAGTTTGTATCCAAGTTCAGTCAATCGACTTGCAAGAGCCCTACAATTAGAGACCACCTACAAGGTAGAGTAGCCCCACAAACTTAGGACATGCCTCGGACACTATTTGCATGAGGAAAGTATAATTGCAGTACCTGGTTCTGGTAAGCCTTAAATTCTGGGCACTGTGCATACTTCAGGCAAACTGCAAGGCCCCCGATAGTGTGGTTATGAGGACCACCCTACAAAAAGAACTCAAGCCTTTTATCGTTTTATCCTTTTATTTCTAAATTCAGAATATACATGATGAACTCTTACAGAAACACACAACTGATTATATATAGTTCCAGTTATTTATCATGCAACAAATACAACTAACCTGTAAACCTGGAAAAACAGCATTGTTGATGGCAGATTCTAAATCGACCCCAAGAACCGGATCTTTCTTGAAGAAGATCATTCCACCTCTTGGGCCTCTTAAAGACTGAAGAGAAATGTCTTAAATTTGTCAGATCATCCAATTGTGGATCACAACAAAGAGATCACATGCAAAGATGAAGCATACAAAAGCGGCACTTTGACATGTTTACAAGTCCATAACTTTTTTGAATTTGAAAAAATTTGGTGAAGTATAAATACATGAGTGAAGAATACCTTGTGTGTTGTTGTGGTCACAATATCGCAGTAGTCAAAAGGATTTGCAAGCACAGAAGCAGCAACAAGCCCACTTATGTGAGCCATGTCCATCATAAGAAAAGCACCAACAGCATCCGCGATCTTCCCATAAAAATAGATGTAATTCATCAGTTGCCAAAGAAACCGGAGTGCTTATAAACGATAATAAATTTCGTATTATTATGCACATGAAAATTATATATGGAATCAGACATAAAATACTAACCTTCCTCATGCGAGGATAGTCAAAATCTCGAGGATAAGCACTAGCCCCAGCAATAATGAGTTTTGGTTTAAATCGGTCAGCCATTTCCTCAAGCTTGTCATAATCAACCAGACCTGGGTTTCGATTTTGTTTTATTTTGGGAGAAAAAAACCAACATCATTTCAAAAGAAAATAAATTCATATTTAGTACATCTGAAAGGCACCATCTTTCTTATTAAAAAAATGAAAAGAATTACCTGTGGATTCATTGAGTCGATAAGACATGGACTCAAAATATATGGATGTGCCTGATACCCGCCGTTTAGGAGTCATGAAACCATGAGACAAATGTCCCCCATGAGACAAGTCCAAACCCTAAGTTACATCCACATATTAGTAGCCACCAATAGGAAAGAGTAAAACAAAGCCAAGAGGACAACTCACCATGAGACGGTCATGAGGTTTAAGAATTGCTGTATAAACTTCGAAATTAGCAGGAGAACCAGATAATGGTTGAACATTAACACCCCACTTCTTTCCGTCTAAGTGAAATGCATCCAAAGCCCTTTTTTGGCATAGTGTTTCAAGCTCATCAATGTGCTCATTGCCACCGTAGTACCTGAATGTACAACCAAACGATGAGATACTAATAATTTTAATAAAAGGTGCTTGTTGGACTCGCACTACACTGAGTCTGAGAATATGTACCTTTTACCTGGTAATCCTTCTGAATACTTGTTTGTGAGACATGAGCCGACTGCCTCCATCACTGCCCGGTAAGTAAAATTTTCAGAGGCAATAAGCTCAAGGCTCTTGAGCTGACGCTCCTTCTCCTTTGTAATAATTGCACGTACCTCAGGGTCAGCCTCACTTAACCCATTGTCCACAAAACTGCTTCCACTACCTGTAAATCAAATAATAGAATTCATGAACAAGTCATACATAATTCATGCCGCCAACCAATGATTTGATACTTCATCAGATGCTGGGAAATTCGAGGCTGAACATATTGTTCTTTTGAAGATTTCTTTCTTTTAAAAAAGATTGGTTCTTCTTTCAAAGAATTAACTAATCAAATTCTGCAGTTCTACTGAAAGTAGTGATTACGAAACCTCTAAATATTGTGACATATGAGGAAAAAGATTTTTTGTTGTTTTTACAGTGCAAATTGACATTAAAAGTTCTATTACAGCACCATAACACTAGCAATACCAAAACCTAAGAAATTCCGAATGAAAACCTTAAAAAATACATATCAATACAATCCACTAACGAAACCACAAATAAACAAACAGAAGTAATTGACATCGGTTCAACGGTTGGAGTATAACTACCTCCGATTTCAGGCAAGGGCACGGAGACAGAAGAAGATGGCCTTCCAGCAGTCAAGCTTCCTTCAATGTAAGAAGAATATCTAGCAGTACCGGTACCGGGCTTCACACGATTGAGCTTCAGCTGATGTGAATATCCGGTAAAGCTAAGCCCTTTGTTGGGAAAAGCTATTCCCTTTGTCCAAGTGGGTTGTTGAAGAGAACCCATCGCTGCAGCTCCACCACAAGCCTGCATCTTGGCTTCCAAATACAATAATACCTCACAAGCGTCCTGCAAACTCCACAGAAAACCCTGATACCAATATATATACACACATATATGTATATGTATTCAGAAACAGAAATTATATACAATAATTCACTCCTTAAACTTGTTTTACATATGATGGGGGTCTATCTGCAATTGAAAAGGGAAATATTTTGCCAAGCTAATGAATGAATAATATAAAGAGGGATTAATAGTAAATTACCCAATAATCAGGTAAGGCGGCGAGAGAGCTTCCTTTGCAATCCGGCGTAAGGGAATGAAACAAAAAAGGGAAAACGGTGGCAGTGGAGAGGAGAGGGTTTAGTGCCTCAGGGTTTTTGTTCTCAAAACACCCGGTTGGCCAACTTTTATATTTTAATTAAACAATTCAAATGTGAAGAAAAATTGTGGGGACGGAGTTAACTGGTAGGGAATCGACTTTACCCTCCCACTTGTTAACTTTTGTGGAGATAACGGACGGAATCCGTTGATCATCAGCGATATGGAATGCAAGTTTGAGATGTAAAAATTATATTCACGTTATAAATTTAAATATAATACTAACACGTATTAATAGAATTATTAACTGGACAATCTCATCTTGACCATCAGATAACAATGGTATTAAATGCACAGAAGTATTGTTGTCAATTCCCTAAATTACACTCTTTTTTTTAAGACAAAAATCTGATATTTCCTCTAAAAAAAACTGTAAATTTATAAGGGTAAACTGTCGGTTTACCCCCTGAACTTTCACCTCATTTTCGATTTCCCCCCTGAACTTTTCTATTGGAAAATTAAGGACTCAAACTAATTTTTTTAGTCAATTTGCCCCCTACCATTAGTTTTTCATATATTCCATCCATATTTCCGTTAAGTGAGACCATGTGCATAACATGTGAGGATAGTTAAGTCATTTCAATTTAAAAATGATTAAAAACTGAAAATAAATAATAATAATAATTTTCCCTCTATTTTTTCCCGCTAATTCCTATCCTCAATTTTAATTTTCCCTCTCATTCCTATGCATGAGAAATAACATATGGTGTTATTGTCTTCATAAGTAGCTAAGTTAATCTTTTTTTTGAAGCATGTACTACCATTTTATTTTCTCTAACAAATTAATAATTTGACAAATGCTTATGGTGTTATTGTCTCCAAAGCAGTGCATTAATATAAGAAACGTGTCCATAAAAAAGACTAGGGTTTCTTATATTAATGCACTGCTTTGGAGACAATAGCACCATTAGCATTTGTCAAATTATTAATTTGTTAGAGAAAATAAAAATGGTAGACAATAACACCATATGTCATTTCTCATGCATAGGAATGAGAGGGAAAAATAAAATCGAGGATAGGAATTAGCGGGAAAAAATAGAGGGAAAGTTTTGCTTTTTTTATTATTTTTAGTTTTTTAATCATTTTTAAGAGTGAAATAACTTAACTACCCTCACATGTTGTGCACATGGTCTCACTTAACGGAAATATGGATGGAATATATGAAAAACTAACGGTAGGGGGCAAATTGGCTAAAAAAATTAGTTTGAGTCCTTAATTTTCCAATGGAAAAGTTCAGGGGGAAATCGAAAGTGAGGTGAAAGTTCAGGGGTAAACCGACAGTTTACTCAATTTATAATGGACGGAATATGTTAGAGTATGTTTATTTACAAAACAACCAAATGAATGAATAAAAATACCAGGGACCTTTAGGTTTTTGGATAGCTAAAAAATAGGAAGTTTTAACGAAACATTCTTCGGTATTATTCACTTTTAACGAAAATAACACTTCTACTTTAAAAAGTCACTTCTGGTACTATTCACTTACAATATTTTTTTGTCCTTTTCATTAGTTTTTTTTTTTTTTAATAAAGCTTATTTCTTACAAATCTTCATGTAGAACTAAGGTCAAGAGACTCACGCTTTTGATATTACATTGTTACAGGGCTCACTTCATAATGTATTTTAAAAACTCAACCGTCTATTTAAGACTACTCTTATAGATGATATTAATAAAAAATCATATAAATTGAAAACCATATTGACCGTCAGACTAAATATAGTATTTATGTACTTGTTTATTTTCTTCACTACTAGCGTATATATTGACGATTATGAATGAATTTTTGCAAAAATAATTACAAACTAAAAATGGTATTTCTGTACTAGTTCATTCTCTTCACTACTATACTGACAGTTTTAGTTTTAATATTTTCAAAAATAATTTATAAATAGTATTAATATTTAATATACATATATATTAATTTATCTAATGACACAGTTACGAACAAATTTTTCCAAATAATTTATAAATAATGCATTAATATTTAATATAATAATTTATATAAAATTTTAAACGATTACAAGGGAGTAAAAATAAAAGTTCGCCCGCATACGTTTAACCTTTTACGTTTGCAAACGTTAATAAAGCTTTTTTACTTGAATTGTTAGGGGCACCCACAGAGGTGCGCCCCTCCAAAAATAGGCGTATGCCACTTATAGCGATGAGCACACGGTATTCTTTAGTAAAAGGCGAAAGAATAGTTCGCTTTGTGCTCAACGCATGGCTCCGTAAGTTTACAAGCCCACAGGCTGCTTTATTTTATATTACCCACTCCGCCTCTTTCTCGCTTCTCCTCGTCGATGTGGGACTAAAACCCATACAACTTCTTGTTTTAGTTCAACCGTTCAACCGTTCAACTTGATTAAACCAAACAGCGATTAATTTTGTCTTGCTGCATTGGGGTTGTAGCAGTAGCTAGTAAGATTACGATTCTATTTTCTCCAATTTTCCGAGAGGTATCAGCAAATCACAGAGAAAATTTCACATATAATGTTGGTGATTAACAATATATCACTGTACTTTGAAAATATTTTTGAAAAATGGAGTTGTTCCTCAGAAGTATAAAGGCATTGGGTAAATACATTTACACACAACACTGGCTTGCACCATTCAACATCGTATATTTTCATTTGCTTTTGTACACAATCTCTTCGTCGTCGTCGACGTCATATGCTGGATTACAAAGGCATCTGAACAGTCTGCCAATACCCTGCTAGGGAAGAAAGAAAAATGAACCATCAGCCACCGCTTCTCTCTAGCTGTTATTTCTTTGTTCGTCGATATATTTATATTTGTTTTTAAACACATGTGTAGATTAGTGTATACATGCTTTCGGTATATTGCGTTAGGTGTATAGGATCTTATAACATACCTGAGTGAGAAAGGGAGTTCTATATGAAAGCGGTTGGGGTGAATCCTCTTCAGAACTGCTATCTGAACTGCTTCCATCATCATCCTTGTCAACAGAACTTTTCCTTCTTGACGTTCCACCATTTCGCGTCTGCTTTTCCTCCTTAGGCCAGAAAACAAAGGAAAATTGTAGTGTCAGCAGATCATCGGTGACTAGACGTTACAGAATATCTAAGTTCGATCATTGATTAACATTACTCACATGTTAGCATCCTTTTCTAATTACTTGATAATGAGCATGTATCTACAAACATACAAGGGAATTATAGGCATGAACAACCATTGCACTCAGATTTATTTCTTAGGTAGATGATCGATCAAGATGACGATATCAAATGCATCATACATAAAAAATGTTCCTGTATAAGGATTTTGCAGAAAATTGTAATCAACTGAACCTGAAATATCCTTCCCAGATGTTTTAACGCCAGAGCACGAGCTTTAAGTTCCTCCTTCCTAACATTATTTTCCCGTAAAACCTGAAGTCAAATTTCGAATCATGAGAAGGATCTGCACCAATCTTTTGAACATAATTCTTGCCAACACACAATAAGGAACTCAGCCCCAAAGACACTCTGATTTCTTGGCTTCCAGTCACAAAAATTGTAAAACCGTTGCTTTGTGAGTTCAGCAGGGAGACGTTATAAACTGACAGGGGCAAGAAACAATGTGGGAGATGGAAAAGAGAATCGAGTTCCATGAAAACTTATACTTGATGAAAGAAACAAGTGCCCCCATTGATTGAAAGAAACCACTAACCATTTGGCAAACATGCAAGAGCGTTACTTCGATGTCCACCACATTGAGTTTCCACAATGAGTTCAATAGTGTGTCTTTGTTTAAGCGTATATGCGATTCAGCATCATTTTCAGGGCCACTACCATCCATTTTAAATTGCCGACGGATTTCTTCCTGAAGCTGTAGCAACTGAAAAGCACCTGAACTCAATTTTATTCAACTTAATTAGTTGAAAAAATTAATTAAAGTTCCTAGTAGAATGTATGAAAAGCAGTGATTGAGGGGCAAACCCTTTGCAGCAGTCATCTGTGACTTCCAGAAATGTCCCTTATTACGGACCCACTCAGCCACGAATGGTACCCCTAGGAATATGGTTTTCTTTCCAAGCTCTTGTGCTGCTTGTCTCGAATATATGTAGCCAATAGTGTGCAGCATATCAACTCCAAAGGCTGCAAGTGTGACAAAGCATTAGTAATCTTCTCTATGCAACTTACAACTTCCACACTATGATATAATCACTATTCTATAAACTCATGACGCGAAAAGACAGATGGGGTGTCAAATGAGCAAAATACAAGAATCAAAGTCAGTTGCTTTGACAAAGCATACAAAAGTTTTCGTAGGGTCAGCTTCAGAAACTTATCCCACAATCATTCTCCTGAAACACTTGCAGGTTCAATAATGTGGATAATACGGGCTCAGAAATTAGTAGCTACATCGAGCCAGAGTAATAGGAAGAAAGACAGAGAAAGCAGGTATATAAAATCAAAGCAAATAAAGATGCAACAGCAAATTTCAAGAAATGCATGACTACTTTCATTTGAAGCAGTATAATCCGAGTTATGCATAAAAATGGTCACTGGATTTGAAGTGATATATAAAGTTCTTGTGCAGAACTTAAAACACCAAATAAAATTTGTTCTAATTGTAACATTATGCCATATCTTCATTAATCAAATAAGAAATAAAATGAAACTTAGTTGACCTGCATCAGAAAGTCGTTTAGCTTCGGATTCAGCATGCTCTAAGAATCCCTCTTTGTCACCTAGAACATATTGGTTAAGAAAACCTTTCAGCGAGTTAGCGAGCTTTTCTTCTCTTTCTTTCTGAACAGCCTGCGTTTTGTAGAGGAACAGTTGCATAAAAGGATTGAGAGTTAAGGAATTTAATGATAATTTCAAAGTGAAAGTTACGCCTAGCTATAAGATAGCCTGAAGATACTGAAACTATTGCAAACAGATATGAAATCGTCAAAGAGTGGTAATTAATGGATTCAGGAGGGAACACCTTATGGGAACCGAAGTTATCAACCTACCACGGCGCCACCCCATAAAATTTTACATATAACCAGACATCAATTATGCATTTCAGTCACTTGCATGAGAAGAATGAACAGATTCCTTTCTAAGGAGAAAAATACTAGTATTTAGTTAATTCTCGAATTTACTTGCCTTCAATTTATCGTGCACCTTCTCGGTGCTGTCACCTTCACCAGCTAATTGAGAGGAAGCCATTGATGCTACTGCTACATGTCCTACGTAGTCCTCAAATAATTCACTTCCGAAAAGAAAAGCAAAAACAGCTGTGGGATCAAGCATGGTGTCCCTTGAGAGAGACATCGAAGTATTAATTATCAGGAAAAGATCAATGCACAGGAGATTAAGAATTAATAACGTTCTACCATAATACTCTCAAATTGTGTCAAGAATGTCTTAGATGAATAACCGCAAGAACAAGTAACAAAGGCTGTAAACGATCAATTAGCATGTGTGCGCGCGCGCACATGAGTGTCTACGAGCATAAGCAAATGTAAGTATTCTACCTAGATATGCAATGCTTTCCATTTCGATCATAAGCATCTCTTTGCACCGGATCACTCAAAACTTGATAAGCTTCGCCTAGTACCTGGTAACAATAAGATTTATTAGATAAACGAAGAGAACAATCGCTCAAAATGTGCGAAATTCAACATATATGTCTTCGCTGAAATTTACTTGCAGCAGAGAAAAGTAATGACAGAGCAAGGCTGCCGTAAAAATTAGAGTTGATTGTCTTGAGGGTGGAAACCAATAATTCTTTAGACACCATTTGATTCATAAGGGTGTAGAATTTGGTTAAAAGAAGGATTAAAAAGCAGTGGACTTGCCTGAAATCTTTCGGCAGCCTGAGGATCATTCGGATTTTTATCCGGGTGAACTTGCTTTGCCTGCACAAATATTAGCTTCTCCCTATTAAATACTTGAACTTCTGATAAAAGTTTACTTGAATATGAAGATATAAGCTGCATTATTTCGCCAAGATTTGAACAAAATAAAGCATAATCCTCAAACAAACATCACTGTAAGGCGATTTATGAATGAATCAGCTAGATATAACCGAAAAATAATAAAATCAAAGCAAACAACACTGATCAACATTGAAAATAAATTATGTAAATAAAATGCAAAATTATATATCATTAAATATGCTAACATGCTTATCGAATTAAGGCCTCGTTTGGTATCCAAGATCGGATTGGATTAGATTTGATAACTCAGTAGATTCAATGTACATTGTAAAGCTAGCAAGAGATGCATGTCGCTGAATCTAGTGAGTTATCGAATCCAATCCAATCCAACTCCATACACCAAACGAGGGCTAAGCTGATAAAAGGAGGAGAAGAACCTTAAGATAATAAGCTTTGCGAATTTCCTCCTCAGAAGCGGAGGGAGTGACGCTGAGGACATCGTAGTACTCAGTTTCTTTCACCATTTCCTGCTTCAGCTGATCAGCTGATCAATCTGGAAACAACCACTAAGCTCAGACAAGGAAAGCTAGAGAGAGAAAAAAAGTATAGAGAGAGCGTTGGCATTGCAGTGAGTGACTTTTGCAGGCTTGGCTTTCCAGTTCCACAGAAAAGAAAAAAAAAGAATAAAATAAACAAACTGCTTTTTCGCGGGAGCGGAAGGCAACAGTTGTTTTTAACTGTCTGTGTCCCCATGGAGTCATGGACAATGGTGGCCCTTATGATTACCATGGAATGACAGCAGCAACTGCCATCTTACTTTCCACGATTTCTAGCGTGTTCCAGTGTATAATATACCGAATGTTTTAGTTCTTAGATCCATAAGGTTTAACGACCAAAACTTGTACTGTATAATATACCGAACTACGCGCGCTGTTATTCATGCCGTATCTTTAGCTTGGGATAAAGGTTGGCATTCCTTATGGATTGAATGGACTCCTCACTAGTTGTTCATCTTCTTTCTTCGTCCTCACCTTCCTTAACATCTATCCCTTGGAGGCTTTTGGTCAGTTGGCATAACTGTCGAGTTTTACTATCCTCCATGCAGGTTCAGATTTCTCATATTTTTAGAGAGGGTAATCAAGTTGCTGATTGTTTGGCCAATTATGATGTTGATCACCTTGGTGTCCATTGGTGGGATTCATGCCCTCCTTATGCTGTAGCTGCTTATTCTCACAACCTTTTTAAACTTCCTTATTATAGGTTTTGCTAAAAGAGAGGTTTTGCTGAAAGAGGTTTTGAATTATTGTTATTAATTCTTTAATGGTATGGGTTTGGCCTCATGTCCCCCTTGACATATTGTATTTTTCTTGTTTATCAATAAATTCTCCTCAAAGTCTCTTCCCATGATAGCAATGCTAGAGTGGGACAGACTTTGCGGTCAAATTTATTAAAAAAAAATTATATATATATATATATAATACACCGGAAACATATTAGAAGTTTCGTTTACTTTACAGTTTTGCTTTTATCATTTTTTTAGTATGTTTTGATGCATAATATATTTTTTTTTATCTGTTAGATATTCTTGATCAGAAATTTAATGATTGAGATTTAACGACGTTGTATAGAATACACAGGACACGTACCAGAATTTTTATTTACTTTATGTTTTTTTTATCTTCTTTTTTATCGACTTTCCAAGGTTTTCAGAGCAGTCACTGAGTTGGGTTCTTCGCTGTTGTGGGACTCTTGCCTTTTTTTCCATGTGCAGGTCCATGTAATCTGGCTTTTGCATGGGCATTTTTCAAATAGGCGACCCAGGTGGGGATTTCATTCGGAGGCTGGAGCTCCACTTCTTTCTTTTCAAATGGGTATTTGAGATCATATCCCCATCAAAGTGGAGATTTTATTATCTAACAATTTTTTCTTTCCAATAATGATATTTTATTTCAGGTTAAGGGATGAGGATTAAGATTAAGATATATAATGGACTCGTCATAATAATGAAGTATCTAATTTGTCAATTATGGGAGTCAAATTTAAGACTTTTCGAATACAAATAAAGAAAAATGATATTAGACTGTAATTATAGTAACCATGATTCTAAAAAGCACTAGGCGTTAGTTGAGCCCAAGTAAACATGCTTGAGAAGACATGAGCTTGAGAAAGTGAAACCGATTAATGAGAAGCCATTGAACCCTATAAACTAGAAGCTTGAGATTGCCTTGGAGCTTGTTGTTGTGGCTGTGAATTAAGATTAAGAGAGACAATGCTTGAATTCAAATTGGTCAACTCTACCCAATACAAAAAGATAAACAATATAAAGTTGTTATAAACTTTAAAAAGCCTAAAAAATTTTTTTTTATACTATGTTGTTCGTTTCTGTTTAGTTTGCGGTTCAATTTTAAAACCGTAAAACCAAACCGTATGGTGCCGATTTCATCCATGTTTTAGTTATGATTTTCGAATTCAAATGCCCATTCCTAGAGAATTATGAGATGAGATGACATAAAAATAAAATAAAAAAAAACTAATTCAGATCATATTTATTCAACCTGAATTTAGATTTAACCCGGCCCAATAATAAAGAGTCGATCCATTCCAGCCAACATATTTTGGGCCTCCATTTGTGTGCAGCTTCCTAGTTTGTGGTTTGCGTCACTTGCTCAGCTCAGCTCCGTCCGCTGCATCTCTCTCTCTCTCTCTCTCTCTCTCTCTACACCCACCGGCCACTGGCTTGCGAAAAGAGAAGGCAAGAGTTTGAAGCACATACAGGGTTTCCGCGCTCTTCGAGGTAATGACATCTTCCCCGACTTTCAGACTTTAGGACTGTGAGATTAGAGTAAAAAATTTCATCAGGGTTTAGTGTGGGTTTTTCAATTTCATCTTGAAGTTCTTGATATCCGCCATTGAAATGGAAACTAATACCTTTGAATTGTGCGTCCAAAACTATACACTGGGTTTCTTTCAATTTATGGGTATTTGAGTGATAGCGATGAAAACATGAATCTTTCTGTGCTGGTTTGATGGAAATGCTTTTGCTCACACCACCTCATTGATTGCCGTCAACTGAGTTTAAATTTCGAGATTTGTGCTGTAGATAGATTGAATCACACTCGTCTAACGGCAATCAATGCGGCATTGAGCAAAATACAGTATGGTTTGATTTGCGGTCCACATTTTGTTGTTTTATATTCGATTTTGTTTGAGCTCATTGCAAGTTATGGGTAATTTGATTTCAGACTGGGACTGTTTAAGGACATTCATCAACACTTGAAATAAAAAATCCATCTTTCTGTGATTGAAAAGATGGGATTCGGAGCCCTAAGGTCCATTGTGCGACCTCTATCGCGAACCATAATATCCCGAACCTCAACTTCCTCCATGACGTCCTTAGCTGCCAGCTGTGTGTGCCCCAAACCTGAACTCCCCTTCATTTCTGGTCGCCAAGCCCCATGGTTTTTTCCTGTCTCCAACTATTTTCACAGCTTGACAGATACTCGTTTTCCCAAACGTCGACCAGTAGACAAGCCACGTCGAAAAAGGGCCAGCGTAAGACCTCCAGGTTTGTTCTTCATCCTCAACCTAATACTCCTAATTTTAGTCGAACTCTTACTGAAGAATTACCTCTTGGATATTATATGATTGAACTGTTGGAAATTTTGTGTTTGGTTTCTGAGGAAAGAAAGACACTTTCTTACCCTAGTGTTGGTAATGCTTGGCTTGTTGATTTACATTTAGGGTTTGGGAAGTGCTTTAGTTGGGTTTTTGAATTAATTGTAAGTCGATTATATTATTATTTGCTTGCAGGACCATTTGCTGCGGTTCAGTATGTTCCTGGTGAGCCAATAGTTCCTAATAGACCCAATGAAGGAAGTGTGAAGAGGAGGAATGAGAAGAAGCGCATGAGGCAACGCCGCGCATTCATATTGGTGTGTGTTTCATGAATCTTATTATGTCTTAGGCTTTTGTTGTCTATTATTGTATAGAAATACAAGTGCGTTCAAAGAAACTAGAAAAGGAATCACATTATTAGAGTGTGTTTCGGAACTTCTTACTTGATGGTTTTCTGAACTGTAATCACTTATTCACAAACCTCCCCAAGCAATCTACTTAGTGTGAAACTTTTTAACAAAAGACTTTGATACAATAAAAAGTAAAACCATTTAATATAAGTTGTAGTTTATTTTATAAGAAGTTGTAACGTATTTATATAAGATGGCTGATTGTTCAACATAACGCTTATGTATGCCAAATTTTCTAACGTTAATGTACAAAGAAAGGTTATGCTTGATCACTCTCAATAAGCTAATTGGTGAAATCTCTAATCTGAAATTGTTTCAAGTATAAAACTGCGAAGGATTGGCCTTGTCCTTTTTGTTTTTTGTTTCAGATTACAGAGTTTGCGATTGTCATACTCAGAAATGCTTAGTTTTCCAGTGAAAGCTGAAAGAAAGGACATCATTCGTTTCACAGTAATAATATAGACAACTCTTCTAGTTTCTTGTGGATAGTGGAATACTAATTTCATAGATGGGTTAGGAGATCGGATGCAGTACAATGAACTATGCGATTTAATGCTATATAGCTCAGTAACGCATATCTAGAGCCATTTTCGTGAAGCAGCATTCGTATACTTGAAATGGTTTTGCTTTCATAAATAAATAGAAGCTGTTCAATCTCCAAATCCTGCTGTTGTCTTGACGGGGCAGCATAAATTTTTTTTCTGGCTAACTGATTACTTTGTTTTGGTAGCGCCTACACTGGTTAGGAAGTTAGTGAATATAGAATGTTATACCGAGGTATATGAAACAATCTTGGGTAGTTTGGCATTTCTGTTGGGAACATGAGAAACCATCATCACAATGGAGTCACTTTGGCCTGGGATAATCCTTTAGGTTGGGATGGGATTTCAGTTTCTTCCGACTTTCATAACATACAAGATCATGACTTGACCTTCAGTGTTTGTTGACCCCTTTCGCAGAAATGTCTCGCCTTTTAATATGCACTGCGTTTGAATTTGTGCAGGCAGAAAAAAAGAAAAGGAAAGCTCTGGTGCAGGAAGCTAAAAGGAAGAAAGTTATAAAGCGAGTTGAGAGAAAAATGGCTGCTGTTGCAAGGGAAAGAGCGTGGACTCAAAGACTCGCCGAGCTGCAGAAACTGGAAGAAGAGAAGAAAAATTCCATGGCTTAGCGTCACTACAGAACCCCGTTGCAGATTGCAGTTTGCTGAAAGTTTTCTCTATTACCAACGAGCACATGACTTAGTCTCACCATGTCATTACTTTCATAGTATCTGTCAATTAGCAAACCTCTATCCGATTTTGTGTTTTCCCGGCTGTTTGGCAGGCAGTCTCTGTATTTTGGAGATATGCAAACATTGGTGTTCTGTAGGCCATCTTGCTTGTTACAGTTTTGAGTATTCGTGTCGTTTAAATAAGATACAGATGGAGAGTTCCTTGACCCTCTCGTTTATTATCATTGAGGGTTTAGGGTTTAGGGTTTATGGTTTAGCTCAGAATCTTGGGTATTCTGCTCAGACAACAAATTGTTGGTTTAGAAATTGCAACTCCATCCCCACAGACTAACATACGATTGGACTAATTTAGTTTCCAAATTCACTTGAAAATGCAATAGTTAGTCATCTATACATGCAT